AGTTCTTTATTTATAGATGAATATAGTACAAGGTACAAGAAATTACTGGGATGCCCCTGATTAGTGATGGGACACCCAGATGACTTAAACATTAAACAGGATTAGGCCCATTAACACAAGCCCAGTTACAAGATAAGTTAAACATAAGAATGGGCTAATAAGAACTCTTATCAGCCGAACATAACTCTAATATTCTAACAGTTATAATGTTTATCTTATCCCCCATTTCATTTGTTTTCTCATGATTCAATAAGATTACCAAAGACTCATGTCCAAACTTTACCATGACAGTACTTCCCCTCAGTGGGCAAAAAGAAGACAACCCCTTACTACAAGTGTCCATCAGCGGGCTATGAAACAATGTTAAGATTTTCATGAGCTTGAATCTAGTAATTTCACAGAAGCCCCAATATAACACGAGTGGAGAAATAAGCATTATAATTGACAAATAATGAACGAATTGCTTCATCCAATACATCATTTTATCATGTCGAGCATACTACAATTTGTAGAGATGTTCGTAAACTAATTTTCTGGATCTAACCTGAGAAAAGTATAACATCCACATCTAATTCCATTAATTTAAAAACTTCAGATGCATTAAGAGAACAAGGTAGGACGCCTATGGTAAGCTACTTAGCTCCGCTTCTTAACAAAATATGTCTGAAAATCAGAACTCTATAAATCCAAAGCAGAACCAAGGAAATTAGTCGGGCGAGTTGCGAACGATTCTTACCTCATTTACAAAGTTCAACGCGATACCTAAAATTTTTAAATAAGCAACAAAGCACTGATGAGCAACAACATGGACAGATTCACTTAATAATCAAGACAGATGCTTCAGAATTACTCAAATAAAAATGTCGCAGCAATTAATAAATGATGTTCAGGAGCGTCCAGAAAGTAACAGAATTTATGAAGTGAGATAATCGAATCGAGTCCGCTTGGAGGAATCAACATTCAGGGAACAGAAGAGCGCCTATTTTCCAGGAAATTAGAGAAATGTTTTACCTTCAAGGCTTCAACGCTATCGGACTTTCGGGGCATTGGCGGAAGTGCGGGAAACCTGTTGCAGACTTGCAGTGTTGCAAATTGCAACCTGTTATCCGCATAACAGAGCCTCTCATATACGTTTTTCATTTTCCTTTTTTTTTTAAAGATAAAGCAACTACATTAGATAGAACTAATATTTACAAAGTCCTCTACCCTTGGGATCCTTATGGGCAGGACGATTAAAGTTACAATTTACATAACAAAATTGAACATTCTTCTTTAAGGCCTTCACTATTTGTTCGGCATCCGAACATATAAACATTTCTTTATTATTCCAATTCCGGAGTTCCATTAAAGCCTGCATAATTGCAAACAGTTCGGCTTAGGTAATTTGAGTAGTTCTGCTTCCAATAATATTTAGGCAAGATGAATTCGTAGACAGGAAGATAATACCAAAACTAAATAAGGAATCAGAAATTTTCCCTGCATTGGTAAAGATAATTAAATCAGTAGGATTGGTAATTGAGACCTGCATTCTTTGATCTTGAGAGAACATATTAAATACTGTAGACTCATTCGAGAAATTCAAGGTTTGCTAGACTGTTTGGTTAATGATATTGATGATTTTTTGTTGATATATTTGCCTATTTCTGAAGCATTTTTCATTGCAGGCATATCAAATATAATAGCAGGCAATAGCAATCCAACCTAATATCCTTAGAAAGAGTTGATTGTCATTAATCAGATTATATAGATTATTTATACACGGGATTCAAGATCCTTGAAATATATTATTAAGACGTAAGTTCCAAGGATTTCTAAATAGAATAGTGTGAGAAAATTGACAATCAATAAAAAGATGGGATAAGGATTCAACAACATCATTACAAAGAACACCAAGTTTGTCTGGAAGATCTGCAAAGATCAAGTCCTTTACTGGAATGAAATCATTAATCACTCTCTAGAAGAATAATTGATACCTCGGAGGAATAGAAAGTTTCCAAACTTTAGATAAGCAGAACTTGAGATTTGAGGGAATATTTGGAAGGAATTGTTGTTAATTCTTCTTATATTCTTCTTTCACTTCGTATTTACCTAACTTATGACTGGTACAACTAAACATAAAGAACATTCAAGATAGAGGAAATGAGCAGAGAGCTCTAGACGAACATATGGCGGGAGAATTCATTTCCTTACATTTCTGAGAGAGAGGTCACTATATTTATAGATACAAGTACAGCTGGATGTAACTAGCTTATGGAGGGAATCTTGTAACTAACTCTTAACAGACTTCTATCTTAACTAATTCTGTTAACATGCCCCCGGTAATTTGAACCTCCCTCGTTCTCCCTCGTTCAGCACATTTCTGCAAATCTCGAACTCCTAATCTGTTCTTCAGCAACTCAAATCGAAGGCTAGAAACTGGTTTAGTCAAGCCATCAGCTACTTGCTCGGTAGAAGTAACATGCTCAACCTCCAACTCTTTCCTAATAACCTTCTCTCTAACAAAATGAATATCGAGCTCCATATGCTTTGTCCGAGAATGCAAGATGGAATTCGCAGACAACAAGATAGAATTGAGGTTATCACATAACAACAATGGCACTTTCCTTAGAGTCACATTCATCTCCCTAAGGAGTGATTGTATCCAAGCAACTTCAGCTACTGCGTGTGCCATCCCACGATACTCAGCTTCTGTACTCGAGCGGCTGATAGTGTGTTGCTTCTTAGAAGACCAAGACACCAAGTTCTCACCTAGATAAACACAAAAGCCAGTAGTACTTCGTCTATCATCAATATCCGATGCCCAATCTGCATCAGAAAATGCATACAAGCACAAATTCTGTGTAGCCTTCAAGTGCAGCCCATGACTAACTGTCCCAGCCAAGTACCTCAAAATACGCTTGATTAACTTCCAATGAGGCTCCAGAGGCTGCTGCATAAACTGGCAACATTTATTAACTGCATATGAAATCTCAGGTCTGGTTACGGTAGCATATTGGAGAGCTCCAACAACCGACCTATAGGTTATGGCATCAACAACTGGTTCACCCTCCACTTTAGACAACCTAAGACTGGTTGGCATAGGTGTATCCACTCCTTTAGCTTGAGACATATGAACTCTTTGTAGTAAGTCTTTAACATACTTACTCTGTGAAAGATGCAGGGAACCATCTTGAAGTTTATTCATTTCAATACCAAGGAAATAATTCAGCTCACCAAGATCTTTAACAGAGAATTCCTTATTCAAAGCTTGGATTAAACTGGTCACAACTGATTGAGAGCTCCCTATAATAAGCATGTCATCAACATACACTAGAACAAAGGTGGTATGTTGGGAGGTGACTCTCAAAAACAATGAATGATCACACTTGCTAGACACAAACCCAAACTTTGACAGAGTTGTTGTTAACTTCTCAAACCAAGCTCGGGGAGCTTGTTTGAGACCATAAAGGGCTTTCCTCAACCTACAAACCAACCTCCTATCTTCAACTTCAAAACCTTGAGGTTGATCCATATACACATCTTCCTCTAGAACACCATTTAGAAAAGCATTATTCACATAAATTTGATGAATTTTCCATTTCCAGTAGAGAGCAAGAGTCAATATAATTTGGATTGTTGTTGGTTTAACTACAGGGCTAAAAGTCTCATTGAAATCACAACCCTCTTGAAGCCTTGCTTTCAATCTCTAAACTGAACCATCTGAATTATGTTTAACTTTGAACACCCATTTGCAGCCATTTTCTATCAGCAGGAAGATGTACCAAGTCTCAAGTATGATTCTTCAAAAGAGCAGAATATTCTTCTACCATAGCTTATTTCCAATCAGAGGACTGCAAAGCCTCTGTGACAGTGGAAGGCTCTTTATAAGCAGTCAAGGCTTTAGGCTTGAACACACCATTCTTTGATCTGGTAATCATAGGATGAAGTGACTGGGAGCTAGTCTGAACAGGTGCTGCAGGTAATTCTGTAGAGCCAGATAAAATAGAACCAACAACTCTCACTACAGAATCAGAAGTGGGCTCAGCTGCAGGACAACAATCTGAACTGCCAGGCAAAGTATTAGTAGCAAGATCAGTAGGAATAACACTCTCAACATTAGTAGATGATTCAGGTGGCAAAGATCTAGGGACACCCTGTAATTCAGCTAGGGGAGGAGATGCTGAAGAAAAAGGACGAGGTGAAGGAGAAGAGGTTGCAGCAGAATTGGAAGATGAAGAAAAGAGAGTAGAATAGGGAAAAAGACGTTCATCAAAGATGACATCTCTAGAAATGTAAATTCTGCCAGAAGGTGCCAAACACTTGTAGCATGTGTTGGAGACTATAGCCAAGGAAAATGCATTGAGTGGACTTGAAATCAAACTTGTGTTTATTATAAGGAGCAGTGAGAGGATAACAAGCACAGCCAAAAGTTCTAAGAGCTGAATAATCAGGTGGAGAATGAAACAAGAGAGAATATGGTGAAGAACCATTCAAAACTGGAGTAGGTAAGCGATTAATAAGGAAGGTGGCAATTCTGAAGGCTTCATCCAAGAATTTGAGAGGAAGAGTAGATTGAGCCAGCAGAGTTAAACCAACTTCTGTTATATGTTTATGTCTGCGTTTGGCCAAACCATTCTGCTGGTGGGCATGAGGACAACTCAAGCGATAGAGGATACCATTATCAGAGAGGAACTGAGAAAAGGCTCTAAACTCCCCTCCCCAGTCACTCTGAATGGCTTTAATCTTATGATCAAATTGCAACTCAGCCATAGTCTTGAATTAAAAGAAAGCAGAAAAAGCATCAGACTTATTCTTAATGAGATATATCCAATCCTTTTTATTAACAGCAGGAACATTACAAGCATTTAGTACATTATTCAGAACAGGTAAGGAAGGGTGGCCTAGTCTATTGTGCCACAAATGAAATACAGAAACAGAAGAGGATGCTGCTGTAGAAGAAGATGCTGAAGCAGTGTGAGCAGTATGAGCAGACATAGGTGTAGCAGAAGGAGATGAAGGTTGTTGAGACACAGCAGAAGCAGAACTGAATGCTGAAGAAGAAACAGATCTGGTCACATGTAGATCTTCAAAAGAGTAGAGACCTGCTCTAAGCTTGCCTTGCAAAAGAATTCTCTTGGAAACTTGATCCTTCACCACACAAAAATCAGGATGGAATTCAAAGAAAAACATTATTATCTCTAGCAAATTGAGAGACACTAAGAAGATTCTTAGTGATAAGAGGAACATGAAGCAGATCAAGCCGTTGCGCGTTTCAAAACCAAAGGTGAAGGAGAGGAAGAAGAGTGAATTAAAGAGTGTCCAACATTAGAAATTTGCAAACCTGATCCATCACCAATATGAAGAGTATCAGTTCCTGTGTAGGGAGTCTTGCTAGCAAGATTGGCTGCATCATAGGTAATGTGATTCGATGCACCTGAATCAGGATACCATGAGTGGTTAGAGACTGATTCAGGAGTAGCAAAATAAGCCTGCAGATTTGGAGAGGAGACTTGTTGCTGTTGCTGTTGCTGCTTTTGTGCATTAAGAAAATCTGCAACTGATAGCTGATAATTCTGGTCATACCTATGATAACAATTGGATGCAAGATGACCAAATTTACCACACACTTGACAAGTAACAGATGGTCTGTTGAAACCACCTCTGCCTGATCTTCCTCCTCGCCTACCAGAGTTCATACCTCCTCTGGCACCTCGAATATTCATACCTCCTCTTCCTGCAAATGGAGGTCTGCTGCTAGGATTATTTGAATTATTCTTGACTTGCAATTGTGCAACATTACCTGTGAGAGTCTCCACTGATTTGTGTTTCTCAATTCTGGATTCTTGTGCAAGAAGAAGTGATTCAATATCACTTATAGTGTATGGATCCAGCCTAGATGTAATTGATGTTATGAAAGGATCAAAATCCTCTGAGAGTCCATCGAATATAGCTTCAATATGATCACTCGGAGAGATCGGATTCCCGATTGCAGCCAAAGCATCAACAGTACCTTTAATTTTCAACAAGTACTCATTAACAGACAATAAACCTTTCTTTGTGTTCCGTAATTGCGTCTTCAACTGCTTGATTTTAGCGCGAGTCTGAGACGCAAAAAAGATTTGAATTCACTCCCAAGCTTCCCAATATGTCTCACAGCCAACAACTCTGGTCAACATGTTCTCGGACATTGACGAAAGCATCCAAGACAATAACAATTGATCTTGTTGATCCCATTCTATAAACTCTTCACTGACGCTACCTTGATCTTCATCTTCCTGCATCTTAAACTTCTTTGGAACTGAAGAACTATCCAAGAAGTGTTGTAATTTGTATCCTCTGATTGTAGATATAATTTGCTGCTTCCATAGAAGAAAATTGTTCTCTGTTAATCGAACAGAAATTGCATGAGTAAAAGTCTTCACCTCAACCTTTTGATTGCTCGGTGTTGAAGCAAGCGTGGTGCTCGACGACGCCATATCTCCACTAACAGAAGGAGAGTGGCTCTGATACCAAGCTAAACATAAAGAACATTCAAGATAGAAGAAATGAGCAGAGAGCTCTAGACGAATATATGGCGGGAGAATTCATTTCCTTACATTTCCGAGAGAGAGGTCACTATATTTATAGATACAAGTACAGCTAGATGTAACTAGCTTATGGAGGGAATCTTGTAACTAACTCTTAACAGGCTTCTCTCTTAACTAATTCTGTTAACAGGTACAAATCCAGGATATTTCATTATTTTATGGGAAGATAGGTGTTTTCAAAATCTTTGAAGCTTCCTCAGTTGAGAACATTGACTAGATCAAGTTGACATTCCAGTGATCTAAGATAAGAATATTTGAAATATTCATGTTCCTCAACTGAGGAGGTAAGGGGAAAGAGATCCGATAGAATTCATTATTAGATTGGACCCATGGTACTTGGTGCACATAGAAAGAAGAACCTTCATTCACTAGATAACCACATTCTGAGGCCAGCTCAATGATCTTTGGGTTTATAGCTTTCCGGTAAACAGAACCTGAGGAAGGTGTTGAATAGGATACGAGGCTCTGATGTTTGAGATATTTTGACTTCTAAATTTGAGCCCATAACTTATGTTGTTCATTTAGGTATTTCCATGCAACCTTTTTTAGGAGGGCCTGATTTACTAGTTTTAAATTTTTAAAACCTAATCCTCCAAAAGCTTCAGGTAAGATAAGAGTTTGCCAAGAACACCAACGGTATGGATGTTTCCGTGAATTAGAGACCCCCCACTAGAAATCTCTAATTATTTTTTCATAGACTCATAGAATGGGGAGGGAGGGGGAGAAGCCCTGCAATTGTTAAGTTTAGACCTGAGGTTTTCGATTCGATTAGATCGAATTCAACTAATTATTTATTTTAGGTAATTAATATACATACAAAATAAATATTTTATTTATATAATTTAATTATATATATAAATTATACAGAACATTTAAACATTTTATATATTATATATAAGAATTAAATAATCAGTCAAATTTGGATATTTATTGAATTGAATTAGGTCATATCCGAATTCGACCAATTAGATATTCAAATTACCCGAATTTCATTCGATTATATTGAATCTCGAATTCAAAATCAGATTTTCAAATACTGTTGACACTCCTAATAGGGGCTTCCTCTCCTCATCTGGCTTCCAAAGCTCTTCATACTCAACATCATCATGTGATTGAAACAACTAGTTAAGGAAATTTTTAAAAATAAAAAAGGAAAGTTCCATAGAAAATGGTGAAATACATAGCGGCTGAAGAATGAAAGAAATAACTGAAAATAGAAAAGGATATCTTTGAGAAGGAACTTTGCTCAGCAAGATGACTTGTGAGAAACCCTTCTCTTCTTCACTTTCCGGCGAGGGCATTTACCACCCATTATTGAATCTAATGATTAATGACCGCAACTTTGGAGCAATGGTTCTTCAATTTGTTGACAAGAGAAGAACAACAATAGAAGAAGAAGAAGAATATGATACTGATGACTGTTGGTTGATTTCTTGCCACCACCGGTGGATTGCACATTCACGGATGCCAGTGTGCAATGAGATCACCGGCGGGATGCTTCTGGGTTAAGACTTGATAGAAGAGGAGAGGAGAAAATGGGAGGGAGTTCAAAAATCCCAAATAATTAAAGGACAAATTTCTTAAACTACCCTTATGGTTTAGCTAATCGAGGCGACCACATTGGCATTACGAGAAAAACACCACTTTTAACGGGTGTTCATCCATTAGTTGAACAAACCCGGTTCAACCACCCACAAAAGATAAAACTAAAAAATCAGGGCTTCTTTCAAAGTTTAAGATCATTCGAACTCTCTCCTCCCCATCTCTTGTCCTCATCTCCTCAGAGCCCTAGCTTGAGCATCCCATTGGCCACTCACCACACACTAGCATCCTTGACTGTGGAATGACGGCAAGAAATCCAACATTCCAGCAAACAATTCATTTAATGGTTCTGTTCTAGTGGAGATTGGAAAGTGTAGCTTGTTAAGCGTTCTTAATATAGAAGGGAATCATTTTTCCGGTGAAGTTCCTTCATTTATAGGAGAGCTAAGGGATTTGAAGATGCTATCTCTTGGAGGGAATTTCTTCTTTGGCCAGATTCCGAATTCTGTCTCTAATCTATATGAGTTGGAAATACTGAATCTAAGGCAAAACAACCTAATTGGCAGTGTGCCAAAAGAGCTAATGCAGTTGAGCAATTTGACTACTTTGAATCTCAGTGGCAACAGATGGTGAAATTCCTTCGAGTGTAGGCAACTTACGAAGGCTACTTGTTCTGAACGAGTGGTAATAGTTTCTCAGGAAGGATGCCTTCCAGCATTGGAAGTCTGTTGGATCTTAGGACTGGATTTGAGTCGGCGGAACCTCTCTGGTGAGTTGTTGCTCGAGCTTTCAGGTTTGCCAAATCTGAAAATAATTGCATTGCAAGACAATGCACTATCTAGAGATGTATCGGAAGGTTTCAATAACTTATTGGGTTTAAGGTATTTGAACCTCACATCAAATGCTTTTTATGGAGAGATTCCAGCAACCTATGGCTTCCTCAAATCATTGCTTATTCTCTCCTTATCCAACAATTGCATTTTAGGCACGATTCTAGTGGAACTTGGCAACTGCTCTAATTTGGAGATCCTTTAGCTTTGTTCAAATCGTTTGAGTGGCCAAATTCCAGTTGATCTTTCCCATCTCTCTCACTTGAAGGAGATTGACTTGGTGTTACGGTCTGACATAGGCTTAGCTTTTGCCTACGCTTGGTAGGCTTACGTTAAGAGACATCACCGTCATTTTCACCTGTAAGAATTTTGGGAGAATTGATGTTATCTTCAGGCAGACCACCAAAAGCTTAACATACTCTTTGAGGAGGGGTGGTCGACCTCCTTGGGTGCCTAACCTTGGCACTCCTAGACCATCATCCCTTGCGGGCCCTAGTTAATGGCTAGCATGGCTACCGGGGTTCCTCATGGGCGCACACATGCTCATGGGGACAGTGCATGGATCGACATTGCGCTACCGACACTCAAGGGAGGCTTGGCATGCGGGCTTGGCTCAAGCATGACCCTTCACCACGCCAACCCCTTGCCCAAGCTGAGTGAGCTACCCTGTTACCTCTAGCGCACGGGTGTGTTCCGACTCAAGCGGTTGCTTCTCAACATGGCACACAAGTGCCCATCATCATCGGCATACAAGAGACTCATCACATCGGTGTCCAGTCACCTCTTCGGCGCACAGTTGCCTCACATTATGGTCTTCCCCTTTTAGCACGTAAGTGGCGCCTCCCATGGACCGGCCAGAGCCAGCCGAGTGCCCCGGTCATACGACTTGAGGTCATGATCCAGTGCTACTGACCTTGGTGGAGCCATCTCCTCGGACAACTCGTAGCCTTGCAGCACACAAAGGCTTGTCCTAGCCTACCTTGGCCTGAACGCTGCACGGGTTTCTTCCGCTGTAAAACTACCCCCGTGACATTGGGGCAGAACAATTTCTCGATTTCACCGGAGGAAATATCCAAATGCTTTTTTCTAACTTTTCTATTATTAGATGAAAATCAGCTGGTGGGTTCCATATTGGACTCACTATCTAACCAATCAAATCTAACCATGCTAAACCTCTCCACGAACCACTTGACTCTGAAAATCTGGCTCACTTCTCTGGTTTAAAATACTTCAACGTGTCAAAGAACAACCTGGAGATTCCAGAGGTGTTGGGTTCCCGATTCAACGATCCTTCTACATTTGCAATGAACAAAAATCTATGCAGAAAGCCATTGGATGTAAAATATGAGAATGTATCCAATAGCAGGAAGAGGAGGAAGAGACTTATTCTACTGGTTGTTGTTACGGTAGTCGGAACTTGTCTTGTGACCTTGTGTTTCTGCTACTATGTTTTCAGTCTCTTATGGTGGCGGAAGTGCCTTCAAGATACGGAAGCTGGAGAAAAGAAGCACAGCCCAGCACGCGCAAGCTCAGGAACAGACGATGGTCGCCGGCACCGTCGGACGATTTGTCTCTCGCCACCGGTGGCTTCATCGTTCACGAGGGCGTCAGTGAGTGAGATGCAATTGTTGGAGGTGCTAGGATTTGAAATAAGTACAGGGAGGGGGAGCTCGAATTTGTGTGAAATGAAAATGAACAATTTTGTCATTTTGTGTCCGATTGAACCGAATGGAATCGATTGACGGCCAAACCCACGTTACCGTTACACAGAACGCGTTCAATCGACGTGGTCGATCGTGATTGGTTGATGCACTCGTCCAATGCACCCATGGTGCACAGAACGCGGACTCTCACCCCACGGCACCCAACCTCCAAAACTACCTTTTTGCCTTCACAAGACTGGGCCACGTAGCCCATTATCAGACCTCCCGTGTCCTGTGACTCCTGTCGGCCCATCCGTCGGTTGAATCATTGGCTCCGACTCTCCGAGAGCATGAAGACTGTGCAGCCTGTGCTCCACTGCCATGAATGAGCCTGCGCTTCACTGGTGATCGAAAAGCCAGAACCAATTATCTCCTTTTAGTTCGGACTTTGATAGAAAAAAGCGAGAGATGATAACGAGAGTTCTTTGCAGCAGTTCCGCTCTTACAATCAATCACCTCCCTCCGGTTTCTTTGTCTTCTCCTCGGAGTCATTCCTGTTGTAGAACTGTAAGACGAAGAGACTCCATCCTCGGCAGGAGACGGGCTGGTGTCTCTATTATAACAACAACAACAACAAGAAAATGTGGAGGAGTTGGCGATGAAGAAGGGACACCGATGTGGTCGAGTACAATGGTGTGTAAAGCCCAGAAGGCCACAACCTCAAAACAGCCTCCTGAACATAGAAAAGAAGATGGTCAACAAGGACGAGTCCTACAGCAGCTCGTCCTGTGGACCGCCGAGGGTGTGTACATAGTTTGGCTTTTTCTCCTCCCTTATGCCCCGGTAATTAGTTTCTCTTCTCTTCCCCAATTTCCTCTTTGCAAACCCTTTACCTCTACTTTAGCTATCTACTGTTGTCTTTATGCTGCTAGATCAATTAATCGCTTGCAGAATTGATTCGACACTAAAATAGTGGATACACGTGTATGTGGTTAGCCTCTGGTTCTTTTTTTAGATGCTTACTTTGGGTGGAGAATTCTCTGTGTGATTGTTATTGTATTTCAAGTGTAAAGCGCGCTAAGAGGACTAGGTCTTCTTTGTTTTGGAGTAATTTGTGACAAATTTCTTTTTATCTGCTGTTGAATCATGCATGATCCCTTTCTATCACATAACTCAGTTCTGTCGAAAATGGCAAGATGTATAGGTAGATGGGTGCCTCGAGAGACAATACACTGGCATTTTGTTTACACCAACTTCTAATATAACGGATGGATTTTCTTTCTTCACCTAGAGACGAACTTGAGAATAGTTGGACAATGGTGTATGATGTACACGATGATAAATTGAGAATAATCAGAGCATGTCTGGTCGTTTGGAAAAAGCAGAGTGACCATATTTTATAAGAAAAGTTCGGGTCCATTAAATTGGTGAATGAATGATCTTGTTTTGTATTATCACTTTGGTCTTTGGTTTTCAACAATTTGAAGGGCACTTCTGCTCTGGTTTGGATTCTGTAATTCATGGAGTCATTTGAAGTCTTTTTTTCCCCATCTAGCCAATGGGTGCCTATTTTCTTACCTAGGCTTTTATTTGTATGTGGGTTTTTCTCATTTACCTTGCACTTGCATTAATACTTACCTCTTTTACTTGTTTCTTTTATTGGTTTTACCCCTGTTACTTGTTAAAAGGAGAAGGGAAGAAAAGATCAAACAACCTTCTTCCTTTGATGTTTATAGCAAGAGATATCCTTATACCACTGGATACCTAGGAGTAGGTTACAACCCATATGAGGTAAATGCCAGTTTTGAGCATGGAGGGTTTTGCACCAGTCCTTTTTATGCAGTTACGAATATGACAATTGTTACATGTCACAGGCTCCAAAGCCAATATACATGAGACAAATCAATGCACTTCACTATGTCCATTCCAGTCAATTTGTCTTAGACCAGATTTAGTCCATTCAATTTCTAATAGACACTTCTCATTCAATTAATGAAGCTTCTGGACTTTAGACTCTTGCTTATGCCATATTTCCACTGGAGTTGCAAAACAATAGTATCTGATTATACTCCAGAGTTGTACATATGTTTTGGGCCTTTGATCATCTTGGTGCATTGTTTTCCTTTCATTTTTTTGATTGGAAGCGTGTGGCTTAGGTGCACCAAAGTCTACTTTTCCCTTGAGTAGTGTCAGTAGTTTGCATCTTTCCTTCTTCTCTCTAATAAACTCCTTTCTTATCAATTAGGAAAGGAAGACCTTTTGAACTTCAATGTCCATTTCCTTGGCAAAAATCAGAAAGTTTGTCATTTGAAATTATGCAGTTGACTTAGCTTTTCTAGCCTATCAACTGGATTCTCATGTACTGGTCATCTACATAATTCTGCTGCAATCCAAAAGAAGCCAATAGATCAGACTGTTAACAATCTAATACAATGTTGAGTGTTGACATATAAATTTTCTCAAATTGAATGTATTAAGTAATTTAATTTGACCTAAGTTGTTCTATGTGTACTATGTGTGGAGAGTATCCATTATAAATAGTATGTGTTGCTCAACTCCAGATGTCCCAATACCCAATTGAACTTGTTTTGACATGGTAATGAGGTTCTGCAGTGTATTGATCTTCATTCTATATCTTCTATGTTTACTAATATATGATTAGAATCTTGAGATCCATAATCTTATGCTTAATCCTTCTTGATGAGGATATCCCAATTGACTCATTATAGGTAGCTTTTCGTTTATCACTATGTAGAAAAAGGAAGGGGATTAATGTGAAAATTTGGCTTTTCTCGGACTCATTGCATCCTATGTCTAACAGGGTGATCCAGTATGGGCAATTAGTTCAGACACAGAGAATTCTATTGTGGGCCTTTCTCTCAACTTCTTCTTTATCTTGCCTTCGGTGAATTCTGGTATGTTGATTAATTGTTCACTTCCTTAGTGGTAAGATTCAGTATCATTTTCTGAAATATTACTCTCCATTTGACATAAACAGATGCATGTATTCCTCCAAATGGTAATGAAGTACACCCATGGTTCACCTGACATAAATGGACATCTAGGATATTGTAACTTTTTTTTTTTTGGTTTAGCTAGGATATTGTAACTTGGAAACCTCTTATCATGGTCTTTTACTCCCCTAATTAATGCTTGTCATTATCTTCTTTCTCTATGATCATAATGGTGTGCAATAATTTCTTGGCAGAGTAGTTGGCATTCATCTGATGGAGGCTCCTGTTCTTCACCCGGTAAGGATCTTCAAAAGATGGAATTTGTAATACTGAATTCTAAGGCACCATCTTCCTTGAACCCTTGACTCTTATATCACACCATCTTTCTTTTATCAGGTGTCTGAAGCTTTATTTAATTTTGTCATTGGGTGGACATTCATGTTTGCTCCATTGCTTTTCACGGATTGTAAGAGAGACAGATACAAGGGATCACTAGACGTCTTATGGGGCCTTCAGATGTTCCTCACAAACAGTATGCTCAACCTCTTAACTCATGCTAGCCCGGTCCTAAAGAGAGAAGGAAAAGTCTTAGGTACCTTTGAGGTAGACCCAAAGGGCGGTTACATCCTATAATGATCAGAAAAAAAAGCTCATATTCTTTTGGAATGAGGGCAATTTTTGACCCATCTTAACCTAAAGATTGTTTGGGCCAAGAATTAACATGGTCAGATAATTGTAATCATTCTTTAGGACATTTAAAATGACTGGAATAAGCAATCTGTAGAAGTGCCATAGGACAGGTCTTTGCATTCAGTTTACATCAATTTTGTGATGCTGGAGATCTCATAGTGGGTCCCCTCCTGTATCATTTGGAGAAGAGCCTTTAAAACGATATCCTTCTGTGTCTTTTTTTACTGTTCATCAATATCCTTTCTGCAAACCCAAAATCATGTCCATTAATGAGTTTTGTTGTTTGCTTGTGTGGTTCCAGCATTCTTAATACCTTACATGGCAATTCGGCTCAACGAGGCTGACAGTGACTATGCCCCCAGAAAGCCCTCTAAACTGGGTTCTGTGATGACAAATGGTGCAGCAGTTGTGGGACTGATTGGTGGGGCTATGTGTGTCTTATCTGCATTGTGGGCCTTCTTTGGCCGAATGGACAGTGATTTTGGGACCATGACCGACCGATGGGAATTCCTCTTAAGGTATCTTGGATCAGAGAGGCTCGCTTATGCTTTCATCTGGGACATCTTTTTCTATATTATCTTTCAGCCTTGGTTGATAGGTGACAACCTACAAAATGTTCAACAGAGTAAGGTTGACATAGTGAATTATCTCAGATTTATTCCAGTGATCGGCTTAACTGCCTACCTTTTATCTTTGGATCCTGAAAAGGAATTTTAGCTAAATGTGTGAACCTTTTCGGTCTAGGGCGTTGATTAATGTCTAACAGTTGTTAACCCAGATTCAGAGGGTCAATTACTCGGAAAGAAAGCATTGTTTCTCTCTTGACACCATAACTATGAAGTGTTCACAGTACATTTTTGTATCAGAATGTTCATGCAATACATGTATCAAACAAGTGCTCGTGATCCATGTCGACTGGGTATCTCTAAAGTTGCTCCGACAGTCCGAGGTATCCCAGTTCCCAGACCATCTTTGAGATTTGCTAATTTTTGTATTATCAATAGAGTACCACCAAATGGTCAAAGAAAGTTGGTAGCTGTGCATTCAAGACACCCTCGTGGCATTTTTTTCCAGAATTTTCAGAAATATATTAAGGCCTTGTTCACTTTTCAGTAAGTTACTTACCTGGGTAAATGCAATTACCTGGGTAAGTTTTTCATGGGAAACACTTACCCGGGTAAGTACATTTACCCATGTTCTTTTATTTCTCAGATAAACAAGGTAATGATCATTTTAGTCATAAAAATTCATTATTAAAAGGGGCATTTTTGTCCCATTCAAGTGTTAGCAACTTTCCTCCTAAGCGGAAAAGTTATTTACCCATAGATGGTTATCACTTTTAGGAAAATAAACTTTCCTTGATCCCCACATTAATCTGAAAAATGAACATGGGATTCTTGGTCAATAGGAACCAAAACCCCATTGACCAACTCCCCCCTCTCAAAATTCGAAAAAAGAACGCTCTCTAATATTATTTTTCATTAACTTTAGAAGTGGTGGACCGGCATGTACTCTTATCCTGACTACTACACAATAGCTTCCTTTCGATGAAATGAGTGCCCATCTCCCATGTTTATCTAAGCCTCACATTAGCCGGTCCTCTGCTGGTTGCATATAGCAAAACCCACATAGTTCCTTCATTTGATTTAGATACTGGTCAATCTTGTATTGGTTGCCTCTTTTGTTCTATTAATTAGTAAGGGGCTGTTCGTATTTTTGGATTTTGAAAGGGAAAAAGTTAGTCAATAGGATTGTGAATTCTATTAATCAAGAAACCTATGTTCTCTTTTCAGATTTATGTGGGGACCAAGAAAGTTTATTTTCCTAAGTATCACTTGGATCTGGATCTGCTACCTACGAGTTGTTCTCACATCTCTACCCACAAGACATTACAGCTGCACATTGGGAATCTCCCTTGTCATTCATGGGAGAAATTCCCAATACATGATGGTGGTCTTCTGTGGGTAAGGATGTAATTATGTAGGAATAACTGGTGGGTAGAAGATAAAGGTGGATAAATAACTTTCCCACCTGGGGGGGGGAAAGTTGCCAACACTTGGATGAAATAAAAATGCCCCTTTAATGATTTTTTATGGTTAAAATGGTCATTGTCTTATTTACCTAGGAAATTAAAGAACATGGGAAAATGTATTTACCTGACTAATATCCTATTTCATGAGATACCCATCATATTTTTCAGCCAGTAGCAAGGTATTGGCCGATCCTGTGGATTCTGCTATTTTTCAGCCAGTAGCAAGGTATTGGCCAATCCTATGGATTCTGCTTCATTTTCTCCCTTTCTAATTCAGCAAAAGCTATCTCTTAGCCCGTAGGTAACTTCATCCTCTCTATTGATTAAGGACTATACCATGACTAAGTGACTAGTACTGAATGAATTAGACAAGTTCAGACTTAATGGTCCAAAATATTTATTGGATTGGATTGAACTTGATTCATCTGTAATAGATTTATATTGGATTGTGTTGGGTTGAAGTTCAACCAATATCTGGAAATAAACAGAAGATAAGAATAGAAATGTCAAATGGACTAGATTTGGGTTGGACTCAATCTGAATTAAAACCAATTTGAACAGTTTGGACACTCCAATAAGACATCAAATTGGACCAGTCCAGTCCATTGACAGCCCTATTATTGTCAGTCAAATTGGTAAAATCATGTCTATCAACATCAAGCGAGACAATTAAGAAATTGAGAAAAAACAAAATTGAATATATATTTTGGCACCATAGTGTTGCAGAAGCGTTCTGTTTCACAACTCATAAGTGTTTCATTTTACCTTGTTTTTTTTTTGAAAAACACACTAAAAAATTGTATTTGGTGGAAATGCAAGATATTAAAGTGTTCTGACTTAACATCATAATATATTTATAATAACAACTGTATGGTATCTCAAAAAAGTTTAAGTTTCAGATTTTTCAAACCTCAATGTGCCACATCACCTAGTGATTCAAAAATCACCGATTTTGATGATTCAAGAAATGTCTCCTTTCCTGAACCCAGTTTCAGATTTTTCAAACCTCAATGTGCCACATCACCTAGTGATTAAAAAATCACCGATTTTGATGATTCAAGAAATGTCTCCTTTCCTGAACCCTGAAGTTTATCAAAGCAGCAATGTTTTTTTTTTTTCCTTTTTATGAAAAACGCTGTGTCAAACAATTTTTTACCGTTTCTGTTTTTTTCTGAGGTGGCAAACTTTGTGAAATGGAATGTTTGTGAAAAGCTCCAGTGCCAAACACCTACAATATCTGCGGAAAACCTGTAGGCATGACCATTTGAATTGGAAAGCCCATCAAATGAAGAGAAAGCAACAAGTCTGGTATTCTATAGAGGTTTTAATTCCAAAGAATGGAACAAAACATTTTTCAAATGATAGGACTGAGTAATTATAACCAAGTTAGCAACAAAGAAATGCAACCATGAAAAATATGGCCATGAAGGAATTGGACCTGCACCACGTAATCAAGTGGATAACTATTATTGACAATACCACAAAGAATATGGAAAATGACATTAACTCTGATCAGTGATGATCTAGGAATCAAGTAACGAGATAACTTCCTTTCTCTTGCATGGATGCTGCATTACACAAATAATAGGACTGAGTAATTATCGCCAAGTTAGCAACAAAGAAATGCAACCATGAAAAATATGGCCGTGAAGGAATTGGACCTGCACCACTTTATCAAGTGGATAACTATTATTGACAATACCACAAAGAAAATGGAAAATGACATTAACTCTGATCAGTGATGATCAAGGAATCAAGTAACGAGATAACTTCCTTTCTCTTACTGGATGCTGCATTACACAACTACTTGTTACTTTCGTGAGAGAATAAATAAGTTGTTTTTTTCAATTGAAAGGGAGACGAAGTTGATGTTTGAATAAGCTAGGCAAGTGCACAGAAGTTTGAAAAAGATGTCAAGAAGTATAAATAACAAGGGGGAAATGCTCATCCAAATTGGGTGGCAAAGAACAATTATAAAAGTGTAAGAAGAAGCTTCAGAATAAAATAATGGATTGCTTTCAATTAAAAAGCCTCCAGAGCGAGTATTGCCTCACAACTCTGTTACCATGCTATGAAAATATGGATATAAATAGAAGTTTCATTTAATTGATTTTGTATCTACCCTCTGACCCACCCCTGTCGAACATAGACATCTCTCTAACCATCAACCAAGCACCAATGAAGGCTGAATTGACACTTTCTCATCTACATCTTTGCAACATGAATTTGTCATAATTCTTCCCCTAGGTATACATGGTCCCCTTATGGATCTAGTCAACATGAAAGGAGCAGCTGCTTAAATGTTAATCATCAGACAATATGAACTTCCGTGGACCCATAGAATGGTATAGACAAGAACAAGAAGATACTACTACAATTGATCAATAATTTGGAGGCCTTGAAGATATGGTATGGTTCTCGGCTAGAGTTTCAAAATCTGATTCTGGGGAATAATGGGCCCTTTTCAGTTTTCATCCAAATTATTTCTCCAACAACCTTTTGGATGTTGGTCTCTTGCCTTCTAGAATTGAAAATTGTTAGCTGTAAATAAAGTTCAAAGTCCTTCACACAGCACTTGAAAATACTAACACACATGGCATGATTTGTAAAGGAAATTAAAAGTACATTTCTCCCCATGTGCATTATATTAAAGGACAAATGATTTATAAACCACTTTTTTACCCATTGAAAAGCACCTTTGTTTTTTTCTGTTTAAGTAAGCTAGTAACTAATGGTCAATGAGTAAGAAGTATATTGGGAAGAAAACAGAAGTAACCTATGAATCATCAGCATGCAATTCTATGGAAGAGAGTGTTGCATATTATTTGGAGATAAAGTTTCCGGTGTTCAAAGTATCATTGGCAACAATGAAAGCGGTCTATTTGGTTCTTGTTTCTTAATGCCCTAATGGGATTTTAAGGATAATAAGGGAATAGGGATCAGTGGTATTGTTGGTTAGAAGAAGCTTGGGAGCATCCAATAGAGAGAATAACACAAGAAGTGACTTTGACAGGATTTGTTTGGCAATCCAGACTCATGGGGAATACAGGGGTCTATAGTGATAGAAAGGAGAGAACAATGAAAAGTGTATTGGAAAGCTTGGTTAAACAAATCCAAAGCAGTGGCCCTCCTAGATGGATGAAATTTCTGGAGATCTTAACATACAGAATCTAGTGGCAGAAGGTGAACATAGTAACTCAGTAGCCTGGGCCTTCTGGAGGAACAGTCATCTCTCACTCTAAACAGCAACAGAATGATATTTTCAAACTCCTCTGTGACTAACATCTTCGCATCTTAAGGTTGTCTGGTTGACTTTCTAAAAGAGTACTAACAAACTGGTGGTTAAACCAACTCACTTCCTACTTGAAAGCCATCATATGTCAGTGGAAACTAAGAAGAATATCTTAGCGATTCATGTTCAATTATGAAAATTAACCACCACATCACCAGGATTTATTCAGCAGATGTTGTTCAATTAATAATTATAAAAAATGGTGTTCTATTAATCAGTTAACACACTCAAAAGTGTCAAACAAATTAGACAATGCAGCCATGCTAACATTATTCTTACAGACCTTTCAATCATGGTAAATTTCTTGATTATCCTTTCATGTGTATCTTCAGTAATTTAAGTGATCAAAGTTAAACAATGGATATCGCATTAAACAGAACAGAGTGGTGAAACAGGATTCACGTAGCCAACCCCATATAGTTGGGATAAGGCTTAGATGATGATGATCTGTATCTTTAGTAGCTAGATGGCTCTCCAGTGATCAACATCAGATGTGATAGCAAGTTCCAAGTGCTGAAGAAAACAGTAGATCTACTAGATCAGACAACACATAATTAACCTAAGAAATTTTATGCCAATGGAACTTCACCCCTTTAATTAGCTATCAAGAACACATTGCCAATGTTTGATTCATCTGTAGATGAGTAGATTGTTTTCAGGGTCTCATGAGCAAGTATATGCCAACCCTTTAAGAGTAAACATGCACAGGTATATATAAGTTTAAGGGATTTGAAGAATAATACACTTTACAATAACATCAGCTACCTGTCTAAACTTTGAAGTTATTCTTTAGCCAATTACTTGCCTAATGTTTCCTACACTAATCATAGAAATTTTTCTTTCCCAATCAGATACCACAGAAAACTTAAAGAAGAAAAGTTCTGCACTTCTGAAAAGAAAATTTGTATCTAAGGCTCAGTTTGGGAAGAGTGCAAATACAAATATCTTCAGTGCAAAACCTTGTATATGGTATTTCTAACCTTGTATTTGCACTCTTCCCAAACTGAGCCTAAGAACCCAAAAATTACTTTCATTGACTTTCCACACAAGGGCAATGATCAAATTGAAGCTAATCTCAAGAAAAGGTCAAAGAGTGCATAGTTAAACATGGCATTTAGCCTTTCTACAATGAAAGCTTCAAAATTGATATGGAACTTGTAAGATGATAAATGTGTGCTAAACAACTCTAATTCCAATTCCCAAACCATCACATATTATAAAACATGTATTCTTTTAATATCATTAGTTTCCACAGCCAGGAAACATTCACATGAGTTCTTATTTCTTAAAGGCATCCACCACTACGAACCAACATCCTTATGAAACAATTAGAGTTGACTAGAAGATTAAGATATCACTTGCTCGCTTGCGGCAGGACGAATGCACTCCTACAAACAAGCAAAAGAATTTCCAAAGCATCTAAGTGCATAGTATGGACCTAAACTAACAATTAACTCTATCAAGCTCAATGCTTTTTTTGGTTCATTCTCCAATTCTCTTATTAAGATTCTAAGATAGATCTCCGATTAAATCATCTTCTTAAAGATTACTGGGAATGCATTTGAAGCATTTTGAAACCTACTTAAGATTCCACCCTTTGCCTGCTAATTTGTAGGCATTAAGCCATTAAATATAACCAACTTAACTGGATAAGTTTTGGCACATGATGACTGGATGTCAGAATTTCTGCCCCCCAAGTTTGATGTTGATTGGTTGGTCTGATTGCTATCAGTACTTTTAATATTTATCAATATCAATAGTTAATAAAATTCTGTTCTAAACATGAAATCTAATCACAATTACCATAATGTAGTTCAATTTTTTGGTAGAAAACGAATTTCTGCCTAGTAGCTACCACATAGGAAGTAAAAAGTTAAAATACCAAAAATAGCCAAGTTTCGTCACTAAGAACCAAGTGCTCATACATTGCCAATACATAGCAAGGCCATTTAGACGAATGTGGTTTTACAGCAACCTAGAAGCTGACAAAAGTCGAGATTTCACTAAAATCAGATGAAATAAAATACAAGAAGCCCAAGAACTATAATGCTCCAGTTTAGAGTAACACAAAACTTGAAGTCTTCAACTAAGCAAAAAAATAAGCTACAACAGGGATATGTGCTGAAATATATTATTTTTATGAAGTTACTGTTTACGACAAATTGCCGCCACTTTGTTGCCATAAATTGATGATGTCAGTAGCCTGATTAAGAAGGATAATCATCCTCTTCTGAGATATCCATGGTTTTCTCTCCAACAAGGACTTAAGTTCTTCCCAGGCGTCCTTCCTCGGCCAAAAGTAGTAAGGGCTTAGAGGGATGGTGCCATGGCCCGGTATCTTCTGGTCGAGCGAAATACCAATGTTCTTCTCCATCCAAATGAACTTCAATACAAGCCTTGGTTTCTCCATCGGCTTGACAGCCACTCCAAGCTTCTACGAAAACAACAATTCGCAATTTCAGACAAAAAGGAAACGAAACAGAATGAATCATGGAATTGAACAAGAAAGGTTCCCAATTGAGGGGAATAGACAGAGAGAGAATTAAGACCTCTTTTTCTTCGAGGGGTTCGGGAGCTGAGTCATCGTTGGATGTTTCTTCTTCAACGGCTTCAGCTGCAGCAACCGAAGCGGATAGTCTCAGTTCTCTTCTGTTAGGTCTTTGTTTTAATTCGGAAAGTGGCAATAGATGTAACGGAGTGGACTTTGGCTTTATGGAGATTGATGCTGTGAAGGGCTTGAAACCGAGTTTTAGAGGAGGAAATGAGTGTGCGAGAGCTGTTCCATTAACGCCAGGTTGAATCGCCATAGATCCTTTCGGAGAGAGAGAGAGAGAGAGATTCTATGAGCGAGAAGAAGCCATGCTATCTTTTCGCTGTGTTGGGTTGTGATGCGCTTTGGCGAGTCCGAGTCAGGAACTGAGGAAAGGATAAGGGTCCTAGGGATATTTGGCATCCCTTATTATAAGGAGTTATCTCCTTTTTTAACACTATGGTTTTAACTGTAAAATGGAGATAGAGTGTAAAAGGTCACTGGTATACACCATAACGTTTTACCGTGAATCGTGAAATTGATCTTGTTTTTGAAAAACGGGATGGGTGGAAGAGTGTAAAATTTTACATACATAAAATTGATCTCTAATTATCGATGTAAACATCAAGGTTCAAAGTATCGTTCTGTATCGGCCCGTATCGGTTGATACATATTATTCCGGAATCTTTTTATACATCCTTACAGTGAATGTATCGGGGTCTGACTGGTTTAGGGGATGAAGGGGTCCTAGACCAGTTTTCCTGAACCAGTTTTAAAAAAAATAATAAAAAAAAAGATAAAAATATAAGTATCGAAACGTCCGATACACCCCTACCGATATATCAGACATATCGATATTTTAAACCTTGGTAAATACATACAAAATCGGATTAGAAGAATTTTATGTCGATCATAATTATACGTTCTTTTCAAACACCTACAAAACTTATATGGATTCTTCATTTACATCGCTTAAAAAATGCAGCCGAAAATAAAAAATGCCAAATGCTGCTTAGTTTGATTTCACTGTAACAGGTAAAAGTATAACAGTCACAGTTGGAATGACGATCTGCACCCTAACACCTAACTCAATCAGATATGTAAACCAAAATTCTAAGGAGTATTCATCCGTTTTATGCCTATGTGAATGGTTTGGTTTTATGTAGGCTTGTCTCGAAAATCCGAAGCCCAAATCTGATTATTTCGGTACATGTAATCGGATCGGATTTAAATATTACATTCTATATACGATTAATAATTGGATCATATTCGGATTTGACTCATCCGATAATTAAAATCCGGATCTGATTATATTATAATATTTATTATTTTTAATATATAAATTTTATATAATTATAAAAAACTATATTTTATATGTTATATTATATATAAATTTATATATAACAAATTCAGCATGTTATATTTATATTAATTTATTATATAAAAGTTAAAAAATAATTAAATGTTTAATTTTTTATATTTAAAAATTTTAAGTGGAATCAGATTAAATCTGAATCCTGAATGTGAATTTGAGTTCTTCAAATCCGATTAGATTTCATATTAGATTTGTATACAAGTTTTTAGTAATCGATGAATCCGATCTGATTACAGCCTTATTTTATGTTTATGCTAACATGATAGTTGTATCTTGAAAGTATAACCATCTAGGTTGACGAAAATGGAGTCGTTTTTGCCACAGATTTTTGGGTTGACAGTCTGATCGTTCGGTTCGAATGGGTGATCCGTTCTGACAAATAAATTAAAAAAATATAAAAAATAATTAAAAATAAAAAATGTCAAAATCGTTGAACGGGTCAATGGTTTGACTGCCCGAATCAATGGGTTATTAACCTTTTCAGCGGTTTTTTACTAAAACCAGGTTTGGAGAAAAACGAAACCGATTACTTAAACAATTCCCAAGCCGAATGGTCTAACCATCCGAATCAACGGCGTTTCAAAAACCTTGCTCTACTGTAAAGTGTCTCAAGGTTTTTGTTGGAACCTTACCTATCAAATTTATAAACATATGTACAAATATACAATACCATATTCGGACAAGTTTACTTAGGCTCCAAACCTGATCGGAGGATATGCCTCCAATCACATGCATTTTCAGCGTTAACTTTAGGGTTTGGAGTTAAAGGTAAGGACTTAAAATTTAGATAGGGTGCAACATGGGTTGGGCGTAGGCTTAAAAGCTCAAAGTTTTAGGGTCTGTTTGGTTCAAGAGAATAGAATCTTGGAATCGGAATCTGAATGGGTCATTCCATTTCCAGATGTTTGGTGGATCAGAATAGGAATGAGTAGGTAGAATTGGCCATTCCCGATCCCCTCTCCCGGAATGGGATTCACATTCCACAATTGACGGACACCATCAACACTATCTTTGGGAATGTGATTACTATTGCTTATGTCATCAACGCCATCAACGCCAAAATTATTGCTTATGTCAATGCGGTTTTGGGTTTTTTTTGGTCCCCAAAAAAGTTTCTAACTCAAAATATATTTAAAAAAAATTTAATGTGCTTGCTCACCACCTAGAGGTGTAAATCGGGCCATGCTGCCCGTGGCCCGGCATGACAGCCCGCAAGCCTTGCCAGGTCCAGCACGATCATGCGGATCGTGCTGGGCTTGAGGTTTTAAGTCCACCGACCGGCACAACACGGCACGACCGAGCGGGCCGTACTGCCCACGGCCCACGAGCCGGCACAGCCCATATATATATAATATTATATAAATTATAATTATATAATAATATATAGTATATAATATATTAATAAAATAAATATTTTTTAATTTTATTATACTAATTATTTAATTATTGCATATATAAGCAAATTTATACACAACATTCATATAAAATTAAAATTTTAAGTTTTTTGTCAATTTTTTTAAATAAATAGCTTTGGCCCGATGCATGGCCAGGCTTGGCCCAATGCTCGGCCCGTGGCACAGCACGAGCCCACATGGGCCTGGGCCATGGGCCATGCCGGACTGACCCCCAAAATTTTCACCAGAGAGGGTGGCACGGTCCACGGGCCATGCCGTGCCGGCCAAGCACGTCCCACTTTACACCTCTAGCACCACCTAATGTGTACGCACTGTATTTGACACACAAACCAATTCCAGTTTCTTAATGAACCAAACAATATCAATTGAAATCCGATTCTAATTCATGTCTGAACCAAACAGGTAGGGGGAATAGACCATTCCGATTCCGATTCCAAGGGATTCTCTTTCCAATTCCGATTCCGATTCCGATCACGAACCAAATGAACCCTTAAATATTTTGGGTTGCTTAGGCCCAAACCTACCCCAACCATATCACAACGAAGCCTTGCCTGATAATGTACATATGCTTATATGCATATATAGATACATATTTACATGTATATCAATTTTTAGTATGGGTTGATTGATAAATCCAAACCTGATCAGGCCCAAACCCAATCCAAGTGCATTAAATTTTAGCGCACATTGGGCACAGGTTGAATAGTCCGGGATCAATCTAGGGCTTCAGCCAAGATCGGGTGGCCTTAGGCCCAATTTTTAAGGTTAAGCTTGGGTTGAAACTAAAAGCTGACCCAGCCCACCTGACTTGCACCCCTAAATTTAGGGTTTAAATGTAAAAATCAGCATCCGATCATGGTAGGAGGTAGGAGCCAAGTAAAGCCCAACTTTATAATGTTGTCATGCATACTTGGCGGTTTTGACATGCCGGGAAGACCATCTAAAACTTGAATAAAAATAAATTTGTAAGTTGAAGGTTATAGAAGAGAGGAACTTTCACAAGGAACATGGATTGAAGTAGTGACATTGGACATAAAATTAAAATAGTAGTGGGATAGGATTAATTAAAATTTTTAATTGATTATACAGGTGCTATTATGATACCATAAAGACATGATATATATAAAAAGTATGAATAGCCTCTAAATTTCTGTAATTTTTTTTACTAAAATATCCCCTTTTTTGAAATATGATCCCTCTATTGTGAGGGTAGAAAATGTAATTTAAATGTTAGTATTCAATGCATTCAATTCCCTCTCAATCACACATTTAAAGTATTAACTTTCATTCACCCTCATTGAATCATATATTTAAAGCATTCTTATTTATTCTCATCACTAAATTCCATTAATTAAATCCATACATAATAAATTAATAATTTCAATAATATAAAAAACTTATACTTTTAAGATCTACATGAAAAAAATAGTATATACATAAAAATATATACAAAATTTAAAAGAATTTGGATGTATATTACTATTTTCATCATCTAAAATTGCTCGTACAAAGCACGTGCATATTTATTAGTATCATAAAAGTAGTAAGTGGTAACCAACTTAGAGGCATTTATCAAAATTCACAGGGGTTTTCATTAAAGCTCTTTTGATATCATATCTTTTAGCATCATAGATTTATCATGATTAAACATAGTATACATGCGAAAAGATGTTATATATTAGTAAATATTTTACAAAAGACACCTATTCTGTTTTTTCTTCTTTAAAATTTCTTGTACAGTACCCTGAACTTTGGGGGTTGTGTCAAGTCAGTCCCCAAACTTTAAAATGTTTCTCTACAATACCTTGAACTTTAAAATTGTGTCTAATAGGTCTTTGCCATTAAAAATCGGTTAATTATCTGTATCACGTGATGACATGTGCCACTTAAAACTTTAAAATATCAAAATTCACCCTTGAAATTCATTGTCTTCTACCTTGAAACTAAACAACCATGTCATTGCTACAATGGTACTGGGAGCTGACCAAGTTCGGGCGATGGCTGAAAGAAATAATTGATGCGTATGCTTCTTTATGTAAGGAAAAAGAAATGGATCGCCATCAAAGAAATAATTGACATGCTTTATACATAGTTGCTCGCCCAACTAGTGTGTATGCTTTTCGAATTCCATTGTAAGATTTTTTATGTTATCTGCACGCACTATTGTGTATTTTGTATTTGGATTCAAAAATCAATTTGACAACCGGTGAGATTTGAAACTGAACAATACCGAATTGGTCGTAATGAGGGATATATGGAAGAAAACGGGGATCATGCAAGTTTCTTGTTTTCTTTGTTGTTTAATATCGTGTGATTTCTTGAGGGGTTTTCCAGAAGAAATTTCATTTGGGAATTGGGTTTTTGTGTGTAATTTTTTGAATTTTAAGGCTTCTTTCTATTTGAGTTTATGTTTCTTTTTTTTATTTATTCTTCTTCTCGGGTGGGGGGATTGGAGTCGGGAGGTGATTGTTGGTGATGAAGACAGAGACTGGAATGGGTGATCGGTTTTGGAACGACGAGGATAAAGTCGCGGTTGTGGCAGTTCTTGGTGCTCGAGCTTTCAAATATTTCATGATGAGAATCGTGTCTTCGGAAGGTTTGATGATGGCTGTTGGGAATGAACG